TTATAAAAGCACATATTATTTTCAGCATAAATACTAATACTTATATCTATAGATTCATCACCAAGTGCCTAAGACAAATTTATAAAAAATAAAACACTGGATTGGGGTTTTTGTGTGTGGTTTTTTTACTTTGGGTTCTTCTGTTTTGTTTTGTTTTGTTTTTTTGAGACAGAGGCTCACTATGTGGTTCAGGCTGGTTCTGAACTCACTATGTAGCCCAAAATGGCCTGGAACTCAGTGATCCTCCTGCCTCAGCCTCCCTGGTACTGAGATTACAGGTGTGCACCACCATGCTCAGCTTTTTTAGTGTTTTTTAAGACAAGGTCTCACTGTATCGTGCTGGATCTGAATTCATTGTGTACCAAGACTGGCCTCAGTGGAAACAAAGCTTTTTGTACATAGGGAAGGGAGGGGACATTAAGGGAGGGAAGGAATGGGATAAAATTAAAAAAAAAAAAAAGACTGGCCTCATAACTGTGAGGCTCTTCCCTTCAGCCTCCCCACTATATGGGATTATAGGTGTCCTCCATCACACCTGGCAAAATTTTGTTCTTTTGTGACAGTCAAAAACAGCAATATTTGGGCAATTAACAAATGTAACAGAAATATAGAAGAAATTCCAATACACAAATTTTGCAAGGAAAATGCAATTCCAGGCACCTAAAGGTTAAGACATGTACAGACATACTTTTGGTAAGTTAAAATATCTACTAAGTAAAATGTAGAAGCCAGGAGTGGTGGTGCATGCCTGCAGTCCCAGCACTCAGGAGGCTGACGCAGGGAGGTTGCCATGAGTTTGAGGCCACTCTGGGCTGCATAGTGAGTTCAAGGCCAAGGCCAGGGAACTGCAATGGCAAGACCCTGTCTAAAAAAAAAAAAAAAAAAAAAATGTGGACGCCTTCTGTTGTAGTGAACCGTCATGCCAAAGTTTGAAGCTTTAGCTAAATTTCCTAACTTCATCTACAAACCTAAGATTCTTATGACAGCCTGCTGCTTAAACATCGGCACTGAGGGAACATGTAGGTTTTCCTACATACTTTCTAGTTGTGGTCCCCATACAATATAGCTACCAAATAAAAATTGTGTGTGTGTGATGCTGGACATCAAAACCCATTTTATTCTTAAGTTTCTCCTGCAGCTTCTCTTCCAGGGAAGATAAAAGTTCCAACCAAATACAATTTAGCATCACATGTTCTCTGCCTTGAAGCCACAACAAATTAGAGCAGCAATCAGGGAAAAAGCCCTCAATCTAGAGGACAGTAGGTGCAAAGTGCCTTTTAATCTTTCTCTTTTCCTTATCATTCCAAAGTAATCTCAAACTTTTCTTTTCTTTTCTTTTGGTACAGGGGATTGAACTCAGGACCCTGCACTTGCAAGGCAGGCAGCAGTGACACTGAGCTAAATCCTCAGCCCTTAGTCAAGCTTTTAAAAAAATCAGCTGGAGTATTTCCAGTCTCATGTATATGAAACACATTCCCTTAAATTTTTTTTCTTTTCTCTTTAGAGGTGGGAACTGAACCCAGGGCCTAATCCATCAGGAAAGCACACTGCCACAGAGCTACATCCCCTCTCCTAATTTAAAGCTCGGACTTCAGAAAATCTTCCTTCTACCTTAGCATGATTTTTCCCTCTAAGAGGGCTTTAATCTACCCCATGCTTCCATTTGTAATTTCAACCATTTCTGTATTATCAAGTGGAAAAGTTCAAGTCTCTTAATAGTACAAGCCTGTCTTTCTCTCTGCTTCCAACATCTATCTATAAAACCCAGTAGGTGAAAAAACCAAGATCACTTTTCATTCCAAACTGAAAAGCTTTTGTATAACCTTTAATATTTCATACACAATCAAGAATGGCAAGATTTAATAGTCTCTTTAATCCCTGATTATATAATTCAGTACTTTGAATCTGAATCTCACTTTACACAAAATCTGCTCAAATAATACGAAAACTTGAGGACTAAAATAAATTTAAGTTACATTAAAAATTTAAGGGGCCAGGGATTTAGCTCAGTGGTTTCATCGCCTGCTGTGCAAGCACAAGGACCCAAGTTCAGTACCCGGTACCCCCCAAAAAATTCAGTTCTTTATTGTACTGTGTTCCCTCAGCACATACTAGACAACAAAAATACAATTCTTTTAGTATTTTGCTTTTTGGTACTGGGAATCAAATCCAAGACCTTGCGCTTGCCAAGCAGGTGTGGCACCACTGAGCTACATCCCTGGCCCTCGATCTTTGTTTTACTGACTTAAAAGTTTCTGTGAGAACATACTGCAAATTGCCTGACAGACACAGATGATGGAAATCATCCAAAAACAGAATATAGCTTTGTGTTACTTTGGTTTCTTAAATCACTGTAATGTGAATTTCAAATAATTTAAAAAAGCAATGAAAGATTATATTTAAGAGGAATATGAATTTAAAAGATAATTTTAAAACTTAAATTCATCAGGGCCTCGGATGTAGCTTAGTGGCGCAGCACTCGCCTGGAAAGCTCAAGCCCCTGAGTTCCAACAATTAAATTTATTAAGCTGACATGGTGGCACACACCCGTAATCCCAGCACTCTGGGAGGCTGAGGCAGGAGGACTGCAAGTTCAACTCTATCCTGGGCAACTGGGGGATTTAGCAAGGCTCTGTCAATCAATCAATAAAGGCTAGGGATGGAGCTCAGTACAAGGCCCTGGCTTCAATCCCCAGTAACACACACACACACACACACACACACACACACACACACACATACATGCCAAAACAAAACAAAAACCTTCAATTTATCATAATAGTAAAAAACAATTCTAAAAGCAAAACAAAACAAAAATAAAACAATTTTATTATTTTATCTCAGATAAAAATCAACATGATCAGGCTGGGGATTTAGCTCAGTGGTTTCACTGCCTGCTGCACAAGCGCAAGGACTCAAGTTCGATCCCTGGTACCAAAAAAAATCAACACAATCATGCTAGATGTGGTGGCGCCTGCCTATAGTCCTAGCACTTGGGAGGCTGAGGCAGGAGGACTGCCATGAGTTTAAGGCCAGCCTGAACTACAGAGCAAGACCTTGTCTCAAAAAAAAAAAAAAAAAATCAACATGATCACATGAAGGTCAAAGAACCAATCCACACTAACGTTTCCTGAAGTGTTTGAGACACCGCGACAGATCTAGCTAAGGCAAACTGTATCACTTTAAGATTACTTAGAACATTTAATAGATTAATACGCATGAAAAAAAATCTCCAAGTAAACCTGCTTTCCCCATCCTCCATGAATAAGGAATTATTTTTGGCAGCATCTGCTTAGATGGCAGCATAAAATCAGTGTCACTGGCTCACAAGTTCAACTCCTGCACAACTTTGCTGGAGAAAATGATCTCCTGAGCATCTATACACCCTGCACCACAGGAGGACGGCATATTACAGACGAAAAAGGTACACATGAACCTCACATAAACGCTCCTTCAACGGAACCAGCACATACAATGCAGATCGCATGTGTGATGACATTAAACAATTGGGCAATTGCTCGAAGATTTATACCTGACCACGGTGTTCAATGGAATTGGATTCTTTGCCAGTTTTAAGTTCCAGTGGCATGATTTTATACTTTGCTTTACAACCTCGATGTATTTTCACACCAACTGTAACATCTATTTTGCCCTTCATGCCAAACCTAGGGGACCAAATGCTTTCTTCGATATCCAGTGAGCTTACGACTTCAATGCTACATGTTGAATTATTATTACTACCATCACTTGGCCTACAAAAAAACACACAGAAACAATTAGGATGCAGCTCATTGCATGTTTGCTGGCCTTCGTTATCAGAGACAGTCAGAGGATGGGAAAGTCTATAGACTGGTGCTTCTCAAAGGACGGTTCTGTGCCACCAGCATCAGGGCTGCTTGAGAAGTCATGGTGAACATGAGCTCTCAGTCCCACTGCAGACCAGCTCCAGCAGAAACACCAGGGCGAGGCCCAGCCACCGACCGACCAACCGACAAACCCTCCAAGTAATTCTGATGATGCCCGTTCCCAGGCTCTGACTCATGTAACTTAGTCCTTAATATTTATAATCCGCCCCTTAATTCACTCCTACAATCTTCTTACCCCATGTCTTTCTCTTCCAGGTCTATATTAACCCAAAGGTCTCATTACTTATCCGCTGAACCAACGACAGGAACCAGTACACCCCTCCTTACATAAATGAGCACATAACGGCCTGCATGTGTGCAGCCCACCTGGCCAGAGACCCGTCCCCTCACATGATACCATCTCCCACTGCTGACAATGGCTCTCCATCCCACCACCTGCAAGGTGTGGGGTGTGTTCCCGAGACACAGCCCCTGCACACACCATGTGACAGTCTCAGGATGGGTGCATGGCCACTCGACTTCATTTTGTAATCATTAAATGAATCCACCTCTACTGTGATCAACATTTAAAATTAAGTACTCAATGTTGGCTTTTATTTATACAAGATTCTGACTTTAATAACTTAATTGAGAACATGAAAAAGAGAAAAAGGAATATAAGGTATAGGAGATAGAGATAACTTTTAAAATTGTTTATACCTCTGCTGTCTAAAATTTACTCGTTTTCAGAGCAGAACAGATTAGTCAGTTAAATGTTAATTCTTATTTATGAATTCTACCTACTGGTAAAATATTTTAAACCTTTAGACTCAAACCCATATAAAATACTAAATCTAATAAAAATCTCAAGTGAAAAGAAACTTTTTAGCAATTACCATATTTTATGTACCAAAATTGAATTTTAGGGGCCAGGGGTATAGCTCAGTGACCCTGTGCCTGCCAAGCTCAACGTCCTGAGGTTGATCCCCATTACTAACAAAACAAAACAAACAAACTCAAAACTGAATTTTAAAAAGAGTAAGAATTCCAGCTGAAGCAAGGCATAGTGGCAAAAATCCTTAATTACCAGCAACTCAGGAGCCTGAAGCAGGACTGGGAGTTTGAGGCCAGCACGGGCAACCTAGTAAGACCCTGATTAAAAATAAAAAGGCCTGAGGATGTAGCTCAATGGAAAAGCACTTGCCCAGCATGCTCGAGGACCTGGTTTCAACCCCTAGTGCTGCAAAACAATAAAAAGAATACACATCACTTAGATGAATTTGATCTGCTAGTTTCATTTCACTAAGGTCAACAGATATTTTGTTAACAAATGAAGGGAAGAAAAGGCTGTTTTCCCTAATTTTTCTTACAACTTGCTTTAAGATGTTTCACATAAGCCACATGTGGTGGTACATACCTGTAGCCCACTAATGGGGAGTCTGAGCCCAGAGAATCACTAGTTCCAGCCAGTTTGGGTTACATAGTGAGTTTAGCCTAAACTACAGAGCAAGGTCTTGTCTTAAAACAACAAAAAAGGGGGCTGGGGATTTGGCTCAGTGGTTCTGCTGCCTGCCTTGCAAGCACAAGGTTCCAAGTTTGATTCCCGGTACCAAAAAAAAAAACAACAACAAAAAAAGACACTTCAAATATAATCATCAGGAAAATGTGTATACTTCTACTAGAGTTATCAAAGAATCAGTGATGGAATCCTGGGAAGCCAAAATTTATTACAAATTCCTTAACTATTAATCTTTTTTTTCACACAAAATCCCAGCACTCAGGAGGATCGCCACAAGTTCAAGGTCAGCCTGGGCTACATAGTGAGTTCAAGACCAACCTGAACTACATAACAGGGCCATGTTTAAAAAAAAACCACAAAAAACAGAACAAGATTATGTCTGAAAAAGAAACAAAAGCCAGGTGTGGTGGCCAAACATATGATACAGTCCACAGACAGTGACCCAGAGGAAAAAACATAAAAGTATCAAATAAAAAATTTAGTAGATTCAGTGGAAGAGGCCTAGGTTCAATCTCTAGCACAGGAAAAAAAATGTAAGAATCTTCAAAATATTTATAAATTGGGTCAGGGATTTAGCTCAGTAGTTCCACTGCCTGCCTCGCAAGCTAAGGACCCGAGTTCGATCCCCGGTACCAAAAAAAAAAAAATTTATAAGTTGACCATCAAGGAGGGGCAGTACTGGGGATTAAACCTAGGGTCTTTACGCTGAGCTACATCCTTAGGTCTTATTTATTTATTTATTTGTTTGTTTATTTTTAAGACAGGGACTCCCTAAATCAGTAAATTATCCAGGCTGGGCTTGAACTTGCAATTCTCCTGCCTCAGAGTGGTAGGATTACAGGTATATGTACAGGTGCCCAGCTAATTTTTTAAAAATCTATATTCAGCCGGGCAATGGTGGTACATGCCTATAATCCCAGCTATTCAGGTGGCTGAGGCAGGAATTTATAAAATTAAATTAATAATAAAAAATTAGAATCATTTCTTATAATGAAAGTACAATTTTCAATTCATTAGATTCTCTTTTGTCATACAAAGATACTAAGGACCAAGCCAGCTTGGTGGCACACACCCGCAATCCCTGCACTCAGGAGGCTGAGGCAGGAGGATTGCTGAGTTCAAGGCCAGCCTGGGATACATAATGAAACCTTGGGATACATAGTGAGACCCTGTCTCAAAAAAAAACAAAAACCCACTAAAAGATAGTAAGGACCAAAAATCGTGAAAGAAGCAAACAAAAAGGCTAAGTGTAATAGCTCACACTTTAGAAAGCTTTGATTCAACATACAGAATGGACTCCTGGTCTGCAAATATGAACACTACGAAAATGACATGCATTTCTTACAGGGAAAGCTGCATCTGAGGGAAGTCAGCCGAAGCACTCTTACGCATGAAATCTCCAGCCCACTTGGAAAAGGAAGGGAGATACTCCTCTGCTTCTTGTTTTATTTCATCTTGACTCAAATTTAAGCGGTACCTGGCAAAATAAAGGAGATATTAAGTATGAAAGCAGAAATGAGAAACGTAAATAAGGACAAAAACAACCAAATGGACAAGTCAAGTGGCCACCAGCTCACAAGCAGAGAAACATGGTGTGGCATGTACACGTGATGGGACAGAGCTCGGCCTCATCAGGGCAGGAGGCCAGGAGGAGCTCGTTGTGCCCTAAACACTCAGCATGCGCAAGGCCTGCACGGGTCCCCAGCACTAGCAAAAGGAAAGGCGTTCTGACACAGGTTACAACATGGATGGACCCTGAGGACACGATGCAGAGTGGAACAGCCGTCATGGGAAGACAGATGTATGATTTCGCTTATATGGGGTATCTATGGTTGTCAAAATCACAGCCAAAAAACAACAGGAGTTGCCAGAAACGGGGAGGAGGCAAGAAGGCGAGTTTTTTGTTGAATGGGTACAGAGCTACAGTGTGGGAAGGGCCAGGGATTTGGCTCAGTGGTTTCGCCGCCTGCTGTGCAAGCGCAAAGACCCAAGTTTGATCCCCGATACCAAAAAACAAAAAACAAACAAAAAAATACAGTGTGGAAAGGTGAGAATGTGTGGGCGGTGGGGATGGGTGCACAGCAATGGGAATGTATTTAAAGGCACTAAACCATACACCTAAAAATGTTTAAGAAAGAAATTTTTATGAGTATTTTAGCACAATTGAAAAACAAACCAAACAACAGTGTAATAACATCTAATTTCAGATTATTTGCTACAATTCAACTATGACAGATGTAATTGAAGGCCCTGGTCCCAAGTATACCTTTGAGATAAAAAAGATAGTAGGAGATGTTGATCCTGAAACCAAGCAATGGAAACCAGAAATTCCAAGAGAGTTGTGAGTGTTGGTGCACACCTGTTATCCAACCACTTGGGAGGCTGAGGCAGGAAAACTGTGACTTTGAGGCCAGCCCAGGCAACTCAGTGAGACACTAACTCAAGCGATAAAAGGGGCTGGGGATTCAGCTCAGTGATACAGTGTCCCTGGTTCATTCCCCAGCACCACCACTAAAAGTAAAAAGAAATGTAAAGGAGGAAAGATCAAATGGATAGAAAGGTAATATGAACCTTACTATATGCACCAAAGAACAATCTATAGCAGTAAGAAAAAATTTTAGAGACCGAGTGCCCAAACTGCAACCCAAAACCCACTCTTTTATTGCAAAGTGCCAACATTGCAATCAAACCTGAATACTTGGGTTTTAGTTTACAAAAACTTTTATCTGATGCTCAGCTGCTGGGGCAACTTGGCTCATGTGCCCACAGAGAAGGCTCTACGTGCCTGCTACTGCATGTGTGCCATAAATTCACTACCACTGCTCTACAGGAACCTTTAACCTCTTATATGGGAAGTCAGCAGAGAATAACAGCATCTAGTCTCAGTTTTGCAGGGTGCCCACAAGGTCAAGATTATGTCACAACAATGCTAAGACAGTATTTGTCTTTGTACTTTCATCTTCTCAGGAGTACACAGTTAGGCTGGGGATGTAGCTCAGTGGCCTGGCAAGCTCAAAGTCCTGAGTTCGATCCATGGTACCAAAAAAAGAAAAAGAAAGGAGTACACGGTGGAGTTTTCTATATGGCATAAAATACAGCAATACATTGGATGCAGAAGCAGATATGAAAAACCAGCTGTCTTGTATTAAGCCATTTTAAGTATTTGCAAAAATTTAAAAGAAGCTCACCCAACTTGTTAAATTTTTCTCAAAATAATTATTTTTCATTAGAATTTTATTTATGCTAACATGAAATGGCTTGCTACTTTTAAATGACTTAATATTTTATTTATCTGTTTTGACTTCTAGTACAGTAATTATCTACAGACACAACCCACATAAATAAAAGCCCTCTAAAATTCTCATTTTTTTTCTTAAATTATTTCCAATAATTATTCAGGAACCCATCTTCAGTGTCATGATTTGCTCAGGTATTTCCCAGTGTGCGACTTCAGATCAGACCAAAATTATTTTCTTTCTACTGAAATGGAGGCTTACAATATTGGCCAGGGATGGCTTTGAACTCCCAGGCTCAAGGGACCCTCCCACCTCAGCTTCCAGAACATCTGAGACAAGTGTGAACCACCATACCAGCTCAGACTAGGACTCCGAGTTCCAGAACAGTTCATACCTGTTAAAGCCTCCGCATTTAAAGTCTCTACTACTCATTTTAGGCAAGTCTCAGCAAATGACATGTAGCAGCCTGGTCCGTCCTGAGATTAAGGCACTAAAGGTAGGATTTTTCAAGCTTAACCTTTTGTATGTACGAGAAGGTAAAGCAGGAACAGATCTTCCTCTGAACCTCAGGGAGAGTCTATGAACAAGACTGGAAGAGAACTCTGGACCTGCTGCTTTAGGATTCTCTTCAATAGGACTGGCACTACTTTGGATGGGAAAAAATTATTTTCATAATTACAAAACACCTGATTTTCCTTAATGACTTAGGATGTCATGATAAATAATAATGATATAATTCAGTGACAGCCAAGAATCTGTTAAGAATAAATCCCTCTAGGGCCAGGGGTTTAGCTCAGTGGTGCTGCCGCCTGCCTCATAAGCACAAGGACCTGAGTTCGATCTCCAGTACCAAAAAAAAGAATAAATCCCTCTAAAACTATGATCTTTAACGTCTTGGTTTTTTTCTATTTGTTTGTTTTTTGGTTATTTGAGACAGGGTCTTGCTATGTAGTTCAGGCTGGCCTCAAACTCATGATCTTCCTGCCTCAAGCTTTTGAGTGCTAGTCTTACAGGCATGTGGCACCATGTCCAACTCAGAGCCTGTTCTTTTAAAGTCTCCTCTCTTATATACTGGAATGAAAATATCAACTCGCATTTTATATGATTATGAAAGTGGCTCTCTATAGCAGCCCCTTATTCCCTGCTGCCTCTTAGAAACCACTTAACTTAGAAATGAGTGGAAAGTTGCCACACTTACAGCCCCAGCTACTTGGGAGACCGAGGATGACTTGAACCCAGGCACTTGGAGACCAGCCTGGGCAACACAGAAGCCCCTCCAACCCCCCAAAAAGAAGCTAGTGCAAACAATGCGAACATGTCGAAGGTTGAGAGAAAGTTCATTTTGTGAAGCTCACAAGGGTTTTTTTCTGGTTTGTTTTCTATTGCAGTGCTGGGGATTGAACCCAGAGCCTTGACCGTGCTAAGCAAGCACTGTACCACTGAGCTACATCCTCAAGCCAACCACACAAGATTTAAGCCACGGACTTCACTGAATCAATTTTGGCTGTTCAAAGACCTTTCCTTGCAGGGGATTTAGCTCAGTGGTTTCAGCTGCCTGCTGCACAAGCGCAAGGTCCCCAGATCGATCCCCGGTACCAAAAAAAAAACCTTTTCTTGGGCCAGGGATTTAGCTCAGTGGTGCCGCCACCTGACTTGCAAGCACAGGGTCCTGAGTTTGATCCCCGGTACCAAAACAAACAAACAAAAAACCCTTTTCTTTCATCTATGTTTTTTCCCCAAATTGGGCTCCAGACTAACCAGATATTTAAATATCCATGGGGGTCTAAACATACACTAGGCAGGGGTGGGAGGGATGTTAGTCAACGGTTTAAAAACTTCAGCTGGATGGGAGGAATAAGCTCAAGAGATCTATTGTACAACACAGTGACTACAGTTAACGTTGTGCACCATATATATATATGGTTCTTTGGTGTTTTTTTTTTGTACCGGGATCACACTCAGGACCTTGTGCTTGCAAGGCAGGCGGCGGCACCACTGAGCTAAATCCCGGGCCACACTGTGCTATATTTTGAAAAATGAAAAGAGCAGTCAAGTGTCCCCAAGGGACTGGGGGCATACCTGTGGTGGAACACAAGCTAAGCATGTGCAAATCCCTGGATTTATCACCAGCACCAAAACAACAAAAACAGGCAGCTGGGTATGGTCACACACGCCTGTAAGGGTAGCATTCTGGAAGGCTGAGGCAGGAACATGGCAAGTTCAAACCCAGCCTGGGCAACATCCCAACTACTTACATTTCCTTCAAATGTCTTATTTCTTGAACAGTTTGAAAAGCAAGTTCTTTTAACTTTTCTGGTGCAAAGCTATCACTTATTGCTTTCTGAAATACTTCATGGAGAACTGTACCCATCAGCATCTGGCGTGTGGCTTGATCGGAGCTCTACCAAAACAAATCATACAAACATTTTATTTCACAACACATAAACACAGGATTATACAATTGTATGACCACTATAGATACATGTCAAACTACTAATGTGTTTTTCTGGTAGGTGGAAATATAGATGAATTTCATTTTCTTCTGCTCAGAATTATCTCGGAATTTTTGAGCAAATCTGAGTTACTTTTAAAATCAGTGTATTTCCATTTTGGGAAGATTTTTTAAAATAGGAAAACGTTCAACATACTTTCAACTTGTTTTGTGTGTGTTGTGCTAAAGATTGAACCCAGGTCCTTCTGCATACTAGGCAAGTGCTCTACCACTGAGCTACATCCTCAGCCGTTTTCAAAAAAATTTTGAAAAAGGATCTTGAGAAGTTACCCAAGCTGGCCTCAAATTTATATCGTCCTGCTTCAGACTCCTAAGTAGCTGGGATTTTAGGACTGCACCAAAACACCCAGTTCAAATATTTCGTATTTTAAAAGTATTTTTCTCTAATCTCACTTTATAATTGACCCAAGTAGAAAAATAAAGGCATAGCTCATAAACTCATGCAAGTAAAAGATATTCAAACATAAGATTTAAACCTACAATAAAGATTGTTCCAAAGAAAGTTCATTCCACTCCAAGAAAAGTACTTTACTTCCCAAATTATTCTTACCACCCTAGAAGATACCAAAAAACTATACAGTCTACCAAAATAATCCATTAGGAATTTTCAAAATTACTTTACTGAAGAACTCTCTGTACTATTTTTACAAGTCTATGTGAGTTCAAATTAAGCCAAAATAAAGTTTTTTAAAATTACAGACCAGAGCCAGGAGTGGTGGTGCATACCTGTAACTTCAGCACTTGGGAGGCTAAAGCAGGAGGATGCCAAGTTTGAGGCCAGCCTGGACTACTCAGAGTTCAAGGCTGGCCTTAACTACACAGGAAGACCCTGTCAAAAATAATTTTAAAAGGCCGGGAATTTAGCTCAGTGGTTCAGGCACCTGCCGCGCAAGCGCAAGGTCCCAAGTTTGATCCCCGGTAACAACAACAAAAAAATAGTAATAATAAAATAAATTTTAAAATGAAATAAAATGCCAGGTGTAGGCTGGGGATTTAGCTCAGTAGTTCCACTGCCTGCCTCGTAAGCTCAAAGTCCTGAGTTCGATCCCCAGTACCAAAAAAAAAAAAAAATGCCAGGTATGGAAGCACACATCTATAATTTCAGATATTTGGGAGACTGAGGCAGGATGATATATGTTAGGAATCTTCTGCCTGTTAGTTTGACTCGTGGGGTAATATTAACTTCTCTTATAACCACAATCTACAAAGCAGACCCGAATGCTAATGAGGGAGAGAGTACTGAGGACTGAACCCAGGTAACACTGAGCTATATCTTCAGCCCTTTTTATTTTTGGTTTTTAGACAATCACTGGTTCAAGGCCAGCCTAGACCCTATTAGGTATTTTTCTTATCTTACAGCTGGAGTTCTACTCTTCCACATACCTGTAATCTCAGCACTCAGGAGACTGAGGCAGGAGGATTGCCTCAAGTTCAAAGCCAGCCTGGGCTACATAGCGAGTTCAAGTTCGGGGCCACCCTGAACTACAAAGGGAGACCTTGTCTCAAAAAAACAAAAACAAGGGCCGGGGATTTAGCTCAGTGGCACCGCGCCTGCCTTGCAACCCCAAGCTCCTGAGTTTGATCTCTGGTACCAAAAAAAACCAAAAAACAAAAAACCCCAAAACTGTGTAATTTCCAAAAATTGGTAGGAGGGGAAAATTTTAACAAATAACCCAGGTTCTTTAACAATCACCATAGAAACAGTGGTTGAAGGTCCAACAAAGACTGAAAAAAACTTGAGACATGTCAACCAAACATAGCCATCAGGACTTTGAATACTGATCACAAAAATATAACAACATAATTTATAATGTTCAGGGAAAAATTATTTTTAGAAAAGACATTAGATTAAAAAAAGAAGAAAAGACATTAGATCGCAAGCACAAGGTCCAGAGTTCGATCCCCAGTACCAAAAAAAAGACATTAGAAATAAACTGAACATTTAAGTATTGGGCCAAGTATGGTAGTGCATGCCTGTAATCCCAGCACTCAGGAAGCTTAGGCAGAAGGATCACTGCCAAGTTTGAGGCTAGCCTGGGCTACACAGTGAGTCCACGACCAGACTAGAATATACATTGAGACCCTGTCTCAAAAAAAAGCAAAGGGACGGGGATTTAGCTCAGTGGTTCGGCTGCCTGCCTTGCAAGCACAAGGACCCGAGTTCGATCCCCAGTACCAAATAAATAAATAAATATTAAAATGATATAAAAATAAATAAATTTAAGGTAGTACTATCATTTTTATTAAGTATAACAAATATATGTTGCTAAAAAAAGCTTCAGCTGCCATTTACTTACAAAGTAACAATGTTTGGGAATAGACTATTGGTTTTTATAGCTGAGTGTTTGGTACATAAGGGTCTATTATAATTATCTCTTTGTATATGTTTGAAATAGTCCATAACTTTTTTAAGATAGGGTCTCACTACATAGCCCAGACTAACCTCAAACTTCCAGCTATCCTCCTACCTCTGCCCACTGAGTGCTGAGACAACAGGTGTGTGCTACCATACCACCTGAGACTTTTTAAAAATAGACCTTTTCTTGGCTGGGCATGGTGGCACATGCCTGCAATCCCAGCACTCGGGAGGCTGAGGCAGAAGGATCACTACAAGTTTGAGGCCAGCCTAGGTTGCATAGTGAGTTCAAGGCCAGCTTGAACTACATATTGAGACCTTGTCTCAAAAAACAAAACAAACAAACAAACAAAAGTTTACTTTTTTTTTTTTGGTACCGGGGATCAAACTTGGGACTTTGCACTTGTGAGGCAGGCACCGGAACCACTAAGCTAAATCACCAGCCCAAAACAAAAAAGTTTAAAAAAATAAAAATAAAATAGACTTTATTTCTAGTTTATTGCGAATCACATAAAGCCAAGCTTGGAAATGCCTAGGCATGTTACATTAAAATCTTTTCTTCTTTTGCATTACCGTGGATTGAACACAGGGTCCCAATTCTATTTCTGAGACAAGTTCTTCTTAAGTTGCCCAGGCTAGGCTCAAATTTTCAATCCTCCTGCCTCATACTTCCAGAGTGCTGGGTTACAGATGTGCACCACCACGTCTGGTTGAAATTAAAATTTTTATCATTTAGTGACTGGGTGTGTAGCTCAATGGTACAGTGTTTGCCTAACATTATCAAGGCCTTTGGTTTGATTTCCAGCTCCACAAAAGAAAAAAGGGCTCTATAATCTAAGATGCTGTATAAACATTAGTTATTAGAATTCTTCACCCGAAAAGTTTCGCTCAGGACAGCTCTTCTCATACATCGAATGCTACTGGCTATGCTTGTACCAGAAATCAGCATGTCTGGATATAGGATCAAAAATCCAAAATCTTTATCTATTATCCAAGTATCAAATGAGCAGTCTCCTTCCAAATGAATGATGTCCCCTGGCTGTACTGGTACAGAACACCTGAAAATACACAGGAAAGTTAAAATAGAAATGCATAGTTTAGATACCCACATTTAAATATATCAATGATGCTTCAAAAAAATAACCTATTATCTTATCTGAGAAGTAAGTATTTCTCCACAGGTGTGGTGGCATGTGCCTATAATTTTATCAGTCTAGGAGCCTGAGGCAGGAGGATCCCAAGTTCCACATGGGCAACTAAGTGACTTACCAGGATCCTGTCTCAAAATAAAATATAAAGGATGTAGCTCAGTGCAAAGGTCCTGGGTTCAACTAAATGGAAGGAGGGGAAAAAAGAGGGGGGAGGGAGGGAGAAAGGGAAGGGAAGAGAGAGATAATGTTTAAATTTCTGAATCTTTTTAAAATTAAGAGAATGCAATCTTTACCTCTTTGTACCTGCAACACATCTGAGAATACTCAATGGTCTTCCTAGAGGAAAACAGCTTAGTAATGTCTAACAAATGTCTAGCAAAACTATCAAACCACTTCTAGTGTAATATATAGCTCCAATTATGAATTGGGTTATTTAAATAATCCTCTCCTTCTTAAGACTTAACAACACATTACAGCTTTAAGTCTTCAAACATAAAGTCAAACCCAGGGCAGCAAGAGTGAAATCTTTCTACCTAGTTCAAACTAATTTGCAGTCTAGATTTTTAAAAAAAGCAAAAGGTACAGCAAATACTCTAAAACCCAAGAAAATCCAAAACATTAAATACTTCTAGTACCAAGCATTTTAGATAAAAGATGCTCAATCTATACATGATTTTCAAATGACAGTAAAAACCAATTTTGGAATAAGGGATTGAGATGCTAGGGTAATAGACGTAATTTTCATATAGGATTAAATCTAGTTCAAATCTATGCCCTTGTTAAAAAACAAATTACAGCAACATCCACATAATTATTTGAAGGCATTTAAGGCAGTACCCTGAATCAGCTGGGCATAGTGCACACACCTGCAAGCCTAGCACTTGGGAGGTTAAGGCAAGAGGGTTGCAAGTTTGAGCCCCACCTACCCAACTTAGCAAGACCTTGTCTCAAAATACAAAAGAAAACAAGCCTGGGGACATAGCTCAAGAGTAGTGTGCCCTGGATCTGATTCCTAATACTAGAGAGAGAGACAGACTGAGAGACAGAGAGACAGACAGACAATGGACTCTTAAGAGCTTTGGACATAGCTCAAGCGCTTGCCTAGCATGGGCAAAGGGAGGGGTCTACCAAATCAGTGACGCAAAGTCACACAAAAATTACCAGTCATTCCTAAGGATGCACTGTTCTTTACATTCTAGTGACCAAGATGCAGTGATGATTAGGTGTTTTTCGTAGCTTCCTTTGTTCTGCACAATGTCAACGGCTAAGACCAGGTAGCGGTTATCTGTTCCTTGGCTCAGAATTGTTTTGGGAAAGGAAGCTTCCAATTTCTTCTGAAATCTTAAGCATACACATACAAAACTATTTTAGCCCAACCATGACATAAGAAGTCATTTAATGTACTTATCTAGAAACCAACTTTCTAGTTTTCCACGATGAAAGCTTATTACAATGACCTTTAGATAATTAGGTAAAACTGAGCAAAGGCAAAAGGGAAGAATGCCTGGTATAAAAACTTCCCGGAAGCAATGCTATTTAAAATCTGATTGGGGCCGGGGATTTAGCTCAGTGGTTTCGGCCGCCTGCTGCGCAAGCGCAAGGACCCGAGTTCGATCCCCGGTACCAAAAAAAAAAAAAAGTTTAAAACCTGATTAAAGGGGCTAAAGGGAAGCTTAGCACAAGTGGAGAGGGTTGCTTCCCTTGTGAAAGAGTACCTTGGGTGAGTCACTGCAAGTCCTACCATTTACATTAAAGAGCATACTTAGAAATCATTTCATCCAACATAGTTTTTATTGTGGGAATTCCTATAAAACTTCACTAGGAATAACCAGCCTCTGCTTTTTACAGAAAGCAGGCTGGATACCTATCGTCAAGGTAGCTCATTCTTCTACAAGGTTATGCAGAAGTGTCTTATTTGTATTTATAATGGGCAAGTCTCTTCACAATACTTTTATTCAGTAGTCCAAGCCGCCTGAAATCATGTAAAATAATCTCTCTTAAAAAAAGAGTTCTCCCAGGCCGGGGATTTAGTTCAGTGGCGCCGCACCTACCTCGCAAGTGCAAGGTCATGAGTTCCATCCCCATACGGCAAGAAAAAGAAGAAGAAGAAGAAAAAAAAGCGTTCTCCTGCTAAGTCTTTCCTGAAATTCTTAAACAGTGAGAGACCAAAGGTCAGTCCAAAGTCAGTCTCCAATTCTATCATCAAACGCCTTTCACTTTATTCCCTAAATCACCCCGGTCACTCCACCGCGCCTTCTAGCATTTTATAAACGTTTTCCTCAACTGCCCCAGGTGGCCTCAGGCCACCTATTTCCCAGCAGCTGTGTCGCCTACAGGATCTCTCAAGGGTCTTTCCCAGCACCAATAAAATTCCAGATGTAAACGTCCTTCGACCCTGAAGAGCACTACAGCTGTTACTACTGAACACAATTCTACATCACGATCGTGGTGCACGTTCTCCTTGGGATGAGTTTCTCCAACTGAGCGAAGAAAAGCATCAGGCACTTGTGATTTCCTCTTAGGCGGCGATTTCAGGTGGCGGAGACTCCCCCAAATCGGGAAAGAACGCACTGGCTGATGCGAGGCCTCAGCTCAGGCGCGCGGCCCGGGCCCGAGGCGCGCTGCGCTCCGTCCCCGCCGCTCCCGCGCCTTCCTTTCAAATCTCCCGCTTGGTCCCCACTCCCTCCCCACCCCGCTCACAGCTCTGCCGGCGGCGCAGCCTCCTCTTCGAAACTCTCGTCCATCAGCAGTTCCAGTTCGTCCCGCTGCTCCATCCCGGGCTGGGAGAGAGCAAACAGTCAGCAGGTAAAACCCAAAAACTGAGGGTTCAGCCGGGAAACTCTACCCGCCAAAAAGAAGCGCGAGTAAGCGCGCCACCGCGCGCCTGCGCCGACCTACGGGACTCCCACGTGACCTGCACGGGCGCGGCCCTGCCCCTCCAAACCCCAGAGCCCCAAGTGCAGCTCCCACCTGGACCGCGCAGGCCCAGACGGGATTCCCCCCACCCCTACTCGACCCTCCAGCCCAGCTCAACGCAGACTTTAACTTTACACGAAACTATTTGCATATTCCAAACATCAAGAGTCCTTGTTGGTTTTAGAAATTTTGCATTCCCTAGGAAACAATCTCTTCTTTTAAAAGCAGGGCGTGGCTGTGCACACCTGTAATCCCAGCACCCAGGAGGCAGAAGCAGTTATGCCTCAACTAAATCCACAAAACTACCAATGTCAGCCCATTGTATAACTTCTTTCCACCTTTTCTAAACAGCTGTGTTCCACGCCTGCCTCGAAAGTGCAAGGTCTTGAGTTCAGTACCCGGTACCAAAACAAACAACAACAAAAACAATGTTCCTGCTACTCATGGGCAATCTCCACCTGCAGGCAGGATCCCAAGGCGTCTGGCATTCTCAAGGCGGTGCCACTTGGTTCATTCTGTCATTCTCTTCTGTCAGTGTCACCCTTGTTATTTAACGGGTCTAATAGGACCCAAAGATTCCGTCTTGAAAAGATGTCACTTGGGCGGGACATAGCCCATCTCTCAGCCATCCTCTAAAGCACCCTTCTTACAGGGACTGTGGACCATATTCCTCCCTGCCATTCTTCTCCAATGCATTCCTTTTTCTCACTACATTGTTAGGAAAATTTTCAAGTGTACAGAAAACTTAGAAGAACTATCTAAGGGGCCGGGGATTTAGCTCAGTGGTTTCACCGCCTGCTATGCAAGCACAAGGACCGGAGTTCGATCCATGGTAGCAAAAGAAAAAGAAAAAGAAAAAAACAAGAACTAATAAATACCTATTTGCCCATCACCTACATTTTACAGTTAACATTTGCTGCCTTTAATTTGTCACATGTACACCTATCCACCCTCTGTCCATCTGGAAGTTCGAGTTTGTCCTCATGCATTTCAAAAGTGCAAGCATCATTACATTTCACCCCTAAATACTTTCACACACGAATATTATTAGCTACAATCCAACATTTATTACAGTCCTCTCCAATTTTTTATCTAACTTTTTTGGGGGGTTCACATGAGCCAATATTTATTTCTAAAAATATTGACTTATAAATGATACTCTCCAGAATTCAGACTCTTCTTCAGCTTTAGTTTGTCTCTAATGTTTAAAAATGAATGGAGGGGTTGGGGATTTAGCTCAGTGGTGCCACAGCCTGCCTCGAAAGCACAAGGTCCCGAGTTCGATCCCTGGTAACCCCCCCCCCAAAAAAAGGAATACTCAAGCTGTTCCAAATGTAACTATTCTAATTTTTAAATGTTAAAAAAGCATTTTCAAGCATAACCTAGAAGAATTATTGTCAATTAGATAATCCTGGTGCTGCTCCAGCCTTAAATTGAGTCTGTGGTTTGGGCTCTGTGGCCTTGGGCCAAGCATTCTCACCCCCAACTTCCTTCAGAGGACCCTGGCTCCAGGCAGTGCTGTGTCTGCTAACTGTGCCTTCTTCCAAAGTCATGGCCCCAGCATTCAGTCCTGCCAGGGCTGAGCACCTCCATTCCTCTACTGACAAGCCTTTGGGGCTCCTCCTCTGGCCACCTTTGTATTGGCTGCCACAGTCTGCATCAGGGTGAGGAACTCTCATCTTCTTTCCCAGCAGCAATTCAAATCTTCTAGATGAAGTTCCAAAACCGCATCATTACTGCAGCTTTGTGTATCTACTAAGACTGCTGCCTCCTGGGATGTTTTCCACTTAGGTCCTGGAGGAGGAACTTGGAGAAGAGTTGGTCAAGAGGGACCTGGTAGAACCCTAGAACTGGCATGCAGCAGGATCTGGGTGAATTCTCAGCACATGTTTTATACCCAAGCTCAGCAACTCCTCCAGGGAGTAGTATGGGATAGGGCCACTGAAGACCCCACTCCACAAGGGCCCTGAGCCCCTGCTGTGGGCATTGGCCAGTCACAAATACAGCTGCTATGATTCACCTCCAGCCAACTGTCCGCAGGTCCTGCACACACTGCCTCAAGAAACTATCAGGCATTTGCTGATGGCGTGGGAAGGAAAAGCGTCTTTTTGAATGTACATAAATACACAAATCTTTTGTGGATGCTGATGAATTTTGACAAATGCATGTAAGTAAAGCAAACCTCTATAAAGTGCCTGTCTGTAATCCCAGCACTCTGGAAGGCTGAGGCAGGAGGATCGCAAATTTAAGCCCAGATAGAGCAGTTTAGACCCCGTCTCAAAATAAAAAATAGCTGTGTGTGGTGGTGCGTGCAGGTAATGCCAGCATTTGAGAGATTGAGGCAGGAGTACTGCTGCGAGTTTGAGGCCAGCCAGGCTACACAGTGAGTTCAAGGCCAGCCTGAGCTACATAAGTGACCCCCTTGCCCCAAGTCAATCAATCAATCAGTCAATCAATGGGCTGGTTATGTTATCATCCCAGAAAGTTCTCTCATGTCCCTGACCAACCAGCTCCCATGCCCTGCCCCAATCATACGGTATGTAGTACATTGTGTCAGAATTCTTGGATCCAGTATTTTGAGGTTTATCCATTTTATTACATGAATTGGCCGTTTGTTCTTTCTTATTGCTGAATACTATTAGTATTGTGAGTCTTGAAGAAAACTGCTACAAATATTCTTGTACCAATATTTTCATAGACATATGCTTTTATTTTTTTTAATTTCATGTGCAATTTATTCATTCAAAAACCTAGCTAGTTTTGTTTGGAAACCACTATCTCCTTGAGAATGGTGGAAAAAGCCAAATATGTTATGAGAAATTTCACCTTGCCGGGACTTTTTGGGATGCTGAGATTGAGGCCAAGGCCAGGGGCCATCCTCCTACCTTTTAATTGACCTGCCCATGCCCAGGTCCTTCTTAAATTCCTTATAGAGGTCAATGGGCACCTAGCTAGTGAGTAGCCCACTGTCACTAGTTGAGGTATCTGAGGTGACAAAAGAATTTGACTCATTTTTTTATGATTCCAGTCTTTGATATTGGAATAGCAGACTTTTCAGTTTCTATGGTTTTTTTTTTTTTTTTTTTGGTACCAGGGATCAGACTCGGGTCCTTGTGCTTGCACAGCAAGCGGCGAAACCACTGAGCTAAATCCCCAGCCCTCTATGGCTATTTTTTTAAAAAGGAGACAAGGGGCCAGAGATTTAGCTTAGTGGTGCCTCTGCCTGCCTCACAAGTGCAAGGTCCCAAGTTTGATTCCTGGTACCAAAAATAAAATAAAATAAAAAATAAAAAAGGACACAAGTGCCATGCATGGTGGTGCAAGCCTGTAGTCCTACACTCTGGGAGGCTGAGGCAGAAGGACCATGACTTTGAGCCCAGCCTGGGTAACTCAGTGAGACCCTGAAGCAGTTCTCTTTTGTGTCTTTAGTTGTGCTGTGTTGGCTACCTTGATAATCTGAATCTGTTGAAAACATTTACCTTTCATGGCCATTTTGACTTTGGGGAAAAGCAAGAATTTGCAGTGTCAGATCTGGTGAGTAAGGCACACAGCCCTGTTGTGTTTTTTTTTAATATATTAATTGGTATATTTTAGGTGTACAATACATTTACATTTATCATTGGGTGTTTGTACCTGAACATGATGTATCTTAGTTCTTATTTTTTTCCCCATTACCTGTGCGCCCTTCACCCCCACCACCCTTCCCTATTTACATAGACTTTGTCTCCATTTTTTTTTCTTTCACATAATCTTCCCTTTACTTTCTTCCCTTTCCCCTTCCCCTCCCACCATCCCTCCACCTTTGGACCTTTTCCTATTTCAAATTATCAATTATTCATTTTAATCATTTTCATCCTTATTT